GAGGCCGCTAGAGATTGAATAATTAAAATATTTCATTCCCCTTTCAAGGGAAAAATGAAGTTTAGCAGGCACAAGGCAAGGAAGGAGAGAGAATACAAACAATGGAATCTGACTGACTTTTGTTCACATAAAAAACAGGAATTAATCAGTGATGTTCAAAATGGAAATTAAATTAATGCTTTTCTATTGAAGGAGTTACAGAACACAATTTGTATATTGGGATCCAAGGACTACGTGCCAGTAAACATTCTCACTGCCATTTTGAGGGATTCAGAACCTGGAAGATTCACAGTGGGATAGAAACTCTATATGTGAAATTCTGGTCCCACAAAAGTTAACAGCTGTTCTGTAGTTACAGACTATCTGGTCTGTATTTATGCTGGTTCCACAATAGGCAGGAAGTAAGGAGAAAATGTGGCTGGACTGCTGTAGTTCCAAAGCCACATGATTTATAGATTATATTTTTCTCCTCTATGCAGCTTTATGCCAAAGGGTAAGTTATGGCCCAAAGTGATTTTCTCCTTCAGTTAGTCCATGCTTTACCATATGCTAGGTATTGTTTCACATTACAACAGTTGCAATCCTTCCTATGTCCATTTCCCCCCTTTATCACTGCTGAGTGTGCAAATGAAATGCTGCCTTTCTGCTTCTAAAGCAATGTGCCTACTATTCACTTTTCAGGCACTGGCTATGGTTTTACTGGGTCTCATGAAAGATTCTGATGTGCTTTTCTATTACTTTCCTAACAGACTTTAATTATAAATTTTAGCTTTAACTTTGATGGTTTAAGTACAGTTACAAACTTTTTTGGTGTGTAAGTCATAGAACACTTGATCTCCTATCAAAGAGGCTTGTATGATCCCATCTTTACAGAATTGAGCTTTTAATTTGAACCATTTGACATAAGAACTGAAGGTTTTTGTGGGTTACTATATTCAACAGAATATAATTCAGCACTCAAATATTTAATTCTTTTTCTGAGAGAGACCTGTATCAAATTTGCCCACTGTGGACGTGTCCGGATGAGCAGGAATGTGTGCTTTGAGGTGCCACAAAATGCACACAGTGCATGTTAAAAGGTTCTCCGCACTGCATATTTGCAGCGTGGACCCAAAATTAAATACCAGGAAATCCCAGTATTTAGAAAAAGGCGTAAAAAAAAGCAGGGTGGCACATGTGGCTGCAGTGTGCACTGCCTGAAATAGTAGCCTGGCCAGTCAGGGCCACACTCTGGCTGCTGGCCAGCTCCATGCAACCAGATCACTGCTGCTGCAGCCCAACAATGTGCCACTGCTATTTGTCCCCATGGAAACACATGTGGATGCGCCCCGTGATGCCCAAATTGTCACAAGTATTTCCTCCAAATAGTTTGAATATTCAACTCCCTGAACCTTCAGTATACAGTATATACATTTTATAATGGAGTAACTCTGGCTAAACAAAATTAGTATTTCCTTTGGTGTCCTAAGTAGAATAAAAAATAATAAGAAGTCAGTTGTTTTCCATTCTTCCTATAGATTTTAGAGTAGATAGCAGCTTAAGTCTCTCTTTTGTCCTCCTTTACTTCCCTTTAATCTTCTATCATGCTAGAGCCTGTTTGCTTTTATTGTAGAATCCCTTCTCCACTTGGTACTAGCTCAGTGTTGATAAATATGGAATTATGCATAGTGGAAAAGAAAGTTTAAATTGATATTCCCTAACGGATTTTAAAATTACCTTTATTTACCCAAAACCAAGATGACTTTGAATTTAAGACTACCCCCAATAATTAGATTCTCTCTCTATATATAAACTTTATAAGTGTTATATTTTTCCATGTATAAAATCTAATTATCAGAGGGTCATCTTAAATTTGTCCCCAGCCTCTTGACCCCTACCCTTCCACTTGTTCTCTCTGCAGCTTGCTCCTCCCACAGTGCCTGTGCCTTTGCTGCCTGCCTCCTACATCCTCTGCCCCCCACCTGCCACCCTGCAATCTCTGCCCCCTGACAGCCCTCAACAGCCTCTGTCCACTTCCCCCTGCATTTGCTGTCAAGCAACTCCATTTCCTCCCAGGGCACAGAGCACATGGAAGCTTTGGCCCCTGTCTGGCCATGAAGCAATGGCAGTGGCAGCAGCAATGGCAGTTCTGGCCCCAGGACACTGCTGTGTAGCTAGGCAGGGGCTGGAGCTTCCATGTGGTCCATGTCTCAGGAGGGAGTAGATCCAGAGCTGTGCCTGACAGTAAGCAGTGGGGAGGGCAGGAGGGGGCAGAGGCTGTGGGGGCCGACGGACAGGCAGAGACTGTAGGGAACATGTTGTGGGCAGGGGGCAGGGAGCTGCTGCAGCTATAACTCTGGCCGCGACCTGGGCTCAAGACCAGAGTCAGAGCCACAGTAGCTGCCTCCCCCAACCCCTTGGTACTCAAATCCAAGATAAGGGGCTTCCACCCCATGCTAAAATGAGGGGAGGGGGATTGTCTTGGGTTCAAGTAACTATGATAATTGTATTGACCAAAAAACCCCCAAGCCCCCCTCAAAAAATCAACCCAAGTGATGGGCACACAGCTGCAGAAATGTGCAATAAAGACTTGTACTCATTTGTACTCAACAACAGTGCAAAAACAAAAAACACAAAGGCCTAAAAAGATGTTAACTTACATAGGAAGAATATGATAAGTGAAGAGTGTGGCCTCATCTGGAATACTCTGTGCTATTCCTCAAAATGACTATTGTAAAACTAGAGTGTTCAGAGAAGAATGATGACAAAGACTATCTGGATGGAAAGATCTTTCCTATAAAGAGAAATTGAAAAGATTAAGCACCAGATACTATTTCATTTTACATGTCCAAATGACATGTATCTAGCTGTATAACTGTGGTAGCAGATCTAAAATGACAAAATGTGCACACCCTGGCAGAGGCCCAGGGAACACATGCCCCCTCCCAATCTATGTGTGGGGTGGAGGCGGCTGCTGCTGTGCACTGGGCTTTGCTCCCTCCTGCAGCTGCCACGAGAGCTGCACAACATCTTGTGCCACATGACTTCCCATCCCATAGCCCAATAACCTAAAGTAAGCAGATCTAGGTTCTAGACCCCCCTTCACCTAGAAGGAGTTTGAAGCTGCATGCTAACAAACCAGACCTTAAGCTAGGCAACACCCAGGCCCCTTTCCAGCCCTCTGTTTGAAGCTGCTCCCTGGGAAGTTGAGAGTGTCACAACCCAAGGGTGTGATTTTGTTTGTGTGCGCTTCGGCACTGCTAAATTATTTCCCGCCACTCGGAGCTTTCTTTGCAGGATGCATTTCTTAGTTGCAAAGAGAAATGCACAGTGCAAAGGAGTTCCCGCCACCCGCATGCAAACTTCACGTCTCGTGAAGATCTCTAAGCGCTGCGGAGCCTATCGGACCCAGCGTGTACCTTGAGAAGGCTATAGGGGTCTGATCAACCTCTGGCCTCTCCCCGTCGCCGAACGATCCCTCGACGAACCCCTTCCCTGCGCGCAAGTTCCACGGAGCCTAGCAAACTTCGTGTGAGCGTATCCAGAGCTCTTTTCTCCGAGTTGTTTTCTTCGGTTGACACGGGCTCGCGTGTTTAGAGCCTTCAACCGGATTGGGCTAGAGGTTCGCGTGGAAGGAACTCTTGTCCGCTTCTCTTCTTTTCTGTCTGTAACCGCAACTCAAGCAAGTTTTCCTGCCTGCACCGCGACCATCTTCGGTGTAAGTAAAATAATCTTTAATCAACTGCTAAATGTCCATGCCTAATTCTAGTCCGCCGGCCTGCATTCCCCGACCCGCGTGCCAGGGCTGCTGGCCACAGCCCGCGCCGCGCGCCCCCGAGAACCTGGGACCGCTCCCGGCCCGCACAGAGAGAAGGAGAGAGAAGTGGGGCCAGAAGGAAGAGTACAAGCTAGAGGGTACCAACCTGGGCCAGGTTCAGTGAGATAGATACTGTTCTAAAAGGGAAGGACCCTGGATTCTGCCCTTGGCACCAGTGCTGTTTCTTTAATGAACATGAAATGCCAGGTGCAGTGGATCAGCTTTAAGGGAATGGCTGAAGAGGGACCTGGACCTAGCCTGGGGCCTGGCAGTTAGAGCATTTTGCTGAAAGGGAGAAGATGAGGCCAGGGGAAGAACCTAAAACTCACATTGCCTGCTCTGTGGGTAGGCATCTTACGAGGCTAAATGGGGAAGGGTTGTCTTTCTCCTGGCCGGTACACAAACAGAGAAATTCCCTTTTGCCACAGGGGCAAATAGAATCCTAAACTGTGTGTAAGTGCCCGGAAACTGCAGTTACACTTCCATTTAGACCCACAAAATGAAATAGGATTTGACTATAGGAGTGTTTACCATAGAAAGGACACAAGTATCTGTGGTCATAAGAAAAAATATATACAAGCAAATTAATGACTTAGAGCCATTAGATCAGGAATTAACAAGATTAAAAGGAGCCAAGATCGTTCTATGGAAACCAAGAATATCCAGAGTTGTTTTAATGCCTCATACTTAATGATAAACATTTATGAAATCTCATGCTTCAAGGCATAAACAACTCTCAGGTAAACTGCATGCATGTTGGGCTCAAATAAAATCCTACAATTGGCAGATATGGGGTTCTTACATCTTCCTCTGACCTGTCAATTACTGAGTCCTTGTGGGGGGAAAACAGAGCTATTGCACAATGGACACTTATAATAGAACAGAATGGCAGTCAATGCCATACTCAATGTGAAGTGAATTAGCTCATTAACTGTTAATTGTTCCTCGTCACTGTATTGCACTCTTGCAGCCAGGCCTGCCATGCAGGTTCCATTCTGAACACACATCTCTGTGCAGTTCCTGACAATGCAACATACTTGAGTGGTTGGACAAGCTGGAAAGGAGGGGGCAGCTCTTGGGAATCCCAACACAGCCCCCCAGTACCAAGCAATTCCTCTATTCCAATCTCCTGCCCTAATCCAGGTGTTCCTTGCCTTTTAGAGGAATCCAGGGAAACTCCAGGCATTGACCGCTGGAAGGCATGATGGTCTGGGTACTTTTGGCAGCAATGGAATTCCTACAAGGTAAGGGTTTTACTTGGAACCCTTAGCTGTATACCTGTGGACATTTTCTCCAGGGACAACTGTTAAACGGTTTCCAATCAGTGACATTCTTGGTATGGGTCAAGTCATGTCTATCCAAACCCAAGCAAAGAGCCCCTCTCCCTTGCTGTTTTATCCCCCAAAATGTCCCATTATCTTTTTCTGTGGTTCCTGCCTTTGAGAGACCTACATGCCCATCTTGTCTTTCCCAAAATGCAAAGTCTTCTCCTACCTTCCTTGTGATCTTTGGTGGAGTTTCCTAGACTTAAAGGCACCAAGTAGTTTGCATCCCAATCTTCTTGCTATTATCACCTTTCCACCTACATTAGCATAACAGCTCCTTTCTTTTGTCTAATTCTATGTATATTCCACCCTAACAAGGTTATCACTTTAGCAGCTCTCTCACTTTCTTTCTCTCTGCTCTGCTCTTTGTTCAGCCTTGTTGTTGCAGCATACATCACACAGGGACACCTCCAGAAGTCTCCCTACACCAGTGGGAGTTGACCTTTTTGGCGGGCATGCCACAAATTAGCTCTGTGCCCTCCCCTAGAGCAGCCTCTCTCACTGGGTGGGTCATCATGACTCATGATAACTCAAAAGTGGGTCACAAGAATATATGAAAGGGTTGCAAACAATCTTTAAAAATGGATTTTCCTTTAAAGGAGAAAAACATAGGAAATGGTAACTTTTCCCTTGCAGGCTGGCAGAGTTCCAACCTGCAAGGGGCTACTTGGGGCCCCCCCATGCCTCACGCACCCCCACCCCTGCCTCATATACTCTGGGACTAGGGCCTGGAGGAGAGGGGCAGCAGGTTGGGAGTGAGGGGCACTGGGTTGTGACTGGCCATTGATGTTTACAAGTCCTGGTACAAAACGGTTGAGAGCCACTACCCTAGAGTATGCTACACACAGAGCCTGCCCATGACAGGTTGGCCACCCCTGCCCTACACCATGAAAAATCAAAGTGTATGTCCTCCAGTATATCTTTGCAGACTGGGGTCATCTAAATATTGACCTCTTTGCAATTGTCTATGTTTTCTGAATTTCTCAATTCTGAACAGTCTAGCTCAGAGACATACAAACATTCTTGAGCTTTAGCTGGGTAGATCTAGCAGCTGCTCTACCATCCCCCAATCAACAACCATCTTGTGCTCTCACATCTGGTAGCCCTGAAATTTCGAGGCTTACAGACTATTAGAGGCATTCCTACTATTAGAGACCCTGTTCTACAATGGACCCTGAAGCTAGTCCTTACAACTCTCAGGGGTCCACCTTTGGAGCCTATGGCAAGATGTTCATTGTTCCACCTCTATGGATGTGCTGTATTTGGTGGAAATGAGTTGGTGAGAGATCCCAGCTTGTGTAGCAGATCTTGCATATGCTACTTTCTGCCCTGACAAGGCAGTCCTCAGGATCCACCCAAAATTCTTCCCTAAAGTGGTTTTCTTACTGGTCCTCTTTCTGAAAGTTTACTTCTCAAGTAGAGTTTTCACTACATTTGCTCATAGTTAAGAGAGTATCAACCTACAATTTACAAAGGAATAAACCCTTTTATAAATCTCTGTGGCTTTTTGCAGCTGTAGCCAAGAGATCTGTGGCTTTTTGCAGCTGTAGCCAAAAGGCATAGCGATATCAGCCCAGAGATTATCCAGTTAGATATTAAGCTGTATTAAAATAAGCTATACAACTGTTGAAGTAGAGCCACCCTCAATGATTCATGCCCATGCCACCTCCATAGCCTCAATTTGCAGGTGTCAGTTACAGTATTGTCACTCCACTGTGCCAAAAATCATGAGACAAGTGTCTGTATGTGGGTGTATTTATGAAGGTGCAGGGGGCTGTAGGTGTGGGGGATTTGGAGTACAGGGAGGGAGGGCCCCTGCATACCCTGGCAGGATGTGAGGTACTGTGGGTCAGGAGTGAGAGGTAGCAGCATGGCTGGGGGGCGGCTGTGGCTTGGGAGTGAGGAGCAGACACACAGACACAGACAGCACCCAGCTGGTAAATGGAGGGGAAGGGAAGGTGGGGAGATCAAGGCCCCCCCCCCCCCCCAGGGAGGAAGGGAGTGGGGCAGGAGCAGGGGCTGAGATGAATGGGGCCCCAGGGCCGGGCCAGGTTGTCCAGAGGCACGGGGGTCAAGGGGAGGGCAGCAGTGTGCAGCCCCAGGGGAGGCATGGGGGGGTATTAGCCCCCCACGGGGCAGAAGTGGGCTGCCCATTGTGGTCTGGGGCTCTGTGCTCTACTGCATTTGCCGTGGGAGCTCAGTTGCACGAAGCCATTGCTGCCTGCTGGGTGGGCAGAAGTGTGGGGCAGGCTGGTCATGCGGCTTGTCTCCTGCCCGCCCAGTGGCAGAAAGCACACTGGCATCACATGGCTGAGCTCCCAGGGAAAAGGCAGCAGGACACAGAGCCCCTGCCCACAGCAGGAACTCCACCTCTGCCCTGCGG